TGACCACCAGTCTATATTTATATTTTGCTCCTTTAATTCCTGATTTGTTTTCAAATGTCCTTGAATGTCTAAAATTTTACTATATCTAACCATTTTTGATAGATCTAGTGTATTGGGATATTGACACTGCCTTGTTTTAGTTGAAGTTTGCTTGATATTCATCAGTTCCTATATGGAGGGAATCCTTGCCCACAATATTTCTCATAGTCAATATTATTTACCAGAGGGTTTTATTGGTTAATTGATATTGTTAATGAGTTCAAAGAAACTCATTATTGGCAGATTTTTCTTAACCTACTTGTTCAGAAAGCTTTTTCCTATGCAGGTGTACGATCAATTGCTGAATTTTTTGCCACTTCCAAATCAGAAGAAACACAAGAGCAGGTGCAGATTCTTCTGGATACATTAGGACATGGCAACCCCAAATATCAAAATCAGGTGTACAAAGGGCTGATTGCTCTTTTAAAGTGCACTTCTCCCAAAGCCCAGCAGCTGTCACTACAAACACTCAGGATAATACAGGTCAGCCAAATAAATGGAAAGTGGTATAAAGCATGAAAGTGTTTGTATGCAACCTCAGTTTTATGGATTGTATAGAATTTTATTTCCTTTAAATAAATTAATTGATAGATTTGCAAATTCAATGACCAATAGTAATAACGTGTAACTGTCAAGACATATGCTCATAACTGAGAATGAAATATAAAGCTTTTTTTAGCTGCATTGTGACTTACACTGTACATGCTTGGACCATGACATTTCTATTACCGGTATCTTAGGCATAATTTTAGAATCAGTTTTCATTTTAGCATTGTCACAGTGTTTCAGGGTTCTTTTTTTTTTAAACTGGAGGTGTATTTTGCAATGTGAGGATGGGAAGTGAGACAAAACACTGGAGACTTTTATGCTTTATTTTTTTAGTATTTATAGTGAGGCTGTTTAAAGCAGTTATTTATAAGAGGTGTATATAAACGTAATTGGATCTCAGGCTTGTTCCTAAGTCTTCCTCTAGAAATTATCTCCGGCTAGCTCTCCTGCTTTGTCCCTGATGTACTCATCTCCCTCCCTCATTTCTGGGTTTACCAAGAGGAACTGGTTAGATTTACTGTAATATTCTCAGCACTGTTGACTTTTCTCCTGGATCTCCTCAGCCAAACACCAACCACTTTTCTACTGGGGGAACAATCTCTAATCAGAGTCCTCTCCCAGTTATTCTCCAGGGACCAGGGCTTCACCAGCGATGTTAATCCCTTCCATTCCGTCTTGAGTGTTGATATCTTCTCCCTATTTCCTTCTTCCAGGGAAGTCAGCCATAGATCTTTCTTCTCAACCAGGAACCGGCAACTGCTTTGCACATTCACTTAACTTTGCTTCCCAGCCTTTCTCTTCAGTCACAGACCTTTTTCTCTCCTCTCCTTTTTTCCTTCTCTCTCCATTTTTTTTAGTCAGGCCAGCATCATGGTCACCAGCAACTAAAGAGATGGGTGCTCCCCAAGGCTCTAGTGGGGAACTAGCATAATAAATTTCAGTAAAACAGAATTTGTTTCCCCTGATGTCTAAAATGTCAATAAATTGGTAATCATGGAAGGAGTGGGGCTAATCTCAGAAAGAAAATACAATACAAAAATGCAAGCTGTAATGTTGGAACATATGTAGGGCAGTCAAAAACATCCAATTGGTGGCCAGAACTGCATGACAGTGGCCATCATGTTGAGTTCTTTGACACCACACCCCAACCTGGATATGCCCTTTGTTTAAGCCTAACTCCTATGGTGTCTGGTTAGCAGTGTTGCCTACGGATAGTCCTTGGCTTATGACCAAGACTTCTGTTGCTAAGTAAAACAGTTGTTAAGTAAGTTTTATCCCATTTTACGACCTTTCTTGCCACAGTTGTAAAGTGAATGGCTGCAGTTGTTAAGTTAGTAACACTGTTAAGTGAATCTAGCTTTGCCACTGACTTTTCAGAAAGTCATGACCTTGGAACATTGTAACCTTCATGAATATATGCCAGTTGCCCGGGTTGTAAAAGGTAATCACATGACCATGGGAAGGCTGCAAAGGTTGTAAGTGTGTAAAATGGTCATAAGTCACTTTTTTCAGTGCTGTTGTAACTTTGAATGGCCACTAAACGAATTGTTGTAAGTCGAGGACATGTAAGCTTGTACATTTAGGCTTTTGCACAATTCTCATAGGCTGTATTATATTGTAATTCCTTCTGACCTTGATGTTTTTCACTATCTCATTCTTTCTTTTGGGGTGCATATGTTTTGTGTGAATATACACACCCAAACACATACATGCCCATCTATGACCTGCCTATCAACTGAGGGAAATAATGTATATTTCCAATAAAATGGGTCTGAAAGTCTGCTATAATAAATGTTCATCTTTACATCTTTGTACAACTATTTATTTATGCCATACTACCTGAATAAATCTTCCTCTCTGAAACCCAAAATTGAATGGAATTGGTTTTCATACCTGAAACTAATTTTGTCTAATAAAAATAATTAGGGTCACTGACTTGTCAGAGCAATACATGCTTGATTTGTAGAACAGGGATTGACTAATGTGATTTGCTAGTGAAAAATAATTATATTATTTGAAACAGAGATGACAATAAAATTCTTTTGCTAAATGCTATCTCAGTATCTTATTCAGCAAAAACATGACAATTAACAGAACTAATGCCAGGAAGTTAGCTCCTCAACCAAGATTTGCCTTTCACATCCTTACTAAAATTAATTTTAAGAAATAATGGATTCAAATAACTATTCAAATAATAACCACTAGACGTTCTGCAGCCAGCTACTATTTTTCATCTGAAGAATGACATAACTTTAATAAAGATAAAATGTAACTGTGCCTTCTGGCAACTTGCAATATTATGAGGGTACTCCATATCTGGGAAAATTTGACTTTATTGTTCTATTGGACATGTGAAATATTTTAAAACCAGGCCATTGTGCATAATTCCTGAAATTTATGCTGTGCTTTAATACCTACTTAAGAGTTCTTTGCCAGAGGTATTTATTTCTCAGGCATATTTCTTTAATGTGCTTAATTTTTAAAGGACTTAATATGCATGCTTTTAATGATATATGTGCCTGCAAAGGTAACTTCAGTGAGTGGCATCCATTTGCCATTATACATTTACATATGATTTGAATATTTATTATGTATTTATTAATCAAATTTATATAGCCCTTCCATTTCATGAAAAGTGACACATGGTGATGTACAATAGGTGGTAAAAAAGAATACATAGGTATAAAAAACACATTTAAAATAGAAAAATCAGCATAAAAATATATATGATACCATTACTGTTTTGTTTGCCTTGAAGTTTACCTTGTGTCATCTCACGATTGTATTACATGTTTTTTAATTATTTTAGCCATTTGTGTTGCTTGCATGGTTGTTTTATTTTTTGGCTTCGTGATAATGATTGTTATGTTATGTTGTGGCATTTTTTATGCTGCCCAGACTCACAAATGAGAAATCAAATCAAATAAATAAAATTAACACTAAAAGCAAGTTCAGAATTGTTCAAGGTAAATAGGTAATCTGTGGCAGAAAGGAATTCAGCTTTGTTGGTCAAAGTGGTATCTATTGGAACATGCTAAATCTAAATATTTATATGCTTCTGACGTGTATTTTCCAAATTAATTGGGCACATGCAGTCCCTCTCTGAGGCATATGGGCAGTTCAAAAATGTGAAAAATAATTAAATAAGATTAAAAAAAATTGAGCAGTCTAAGATGGATATATTATTTTACAGAATCCAATTTGGGAAATAATGCTCCCCTATTTCTTCTTTAATTTGCCAGTCAATTGTGGGAAAAGCCCATCCAAGCATTGTTGATTCTGTGCTGAGTGTGCTTCGCTCTCTGAATTTCGAGGTACAGTATGAAGGTAAAACGGCTTTTTTTGTCTCTTCAAATGTTATGTTAAGTAAAATACATTTACTGAAAATTGAAAATCATAGTTTAAATGAAATAGTGAGTAATTTTAACATTTCTAAAGCAGGGGTGATGAGAAGGGAACTGACTTGAAAACTAAGATTGTGTGTGTAAAGCAATGTTACATGCAATATGAAGTCTCACAAGTAACCATCACATTTTCCCTACCTGAATCATTTCAGATATTTTGCCTATACCACCCATCATAATAGTTAACCTTGTCAATCCATGTGTGCATAGATTCTTTTTGTCTAGTTTTACTGAATGGGTGACAAAGCCAAGATATCTCTAAGATTCATAGGAAATAAGCAAAATGACTGCTTTCATAGGAAAATAAATATGTGTATGTTACTAATCACTATTTTTAAATTTTAATTATTTAAATAAATTTCTTAAAGTTTTTATGACATTTTACAAGTTCACTATCAAAATTATCTTGTTACTGATCATATTATTTCCACATATCCAGTGAGTTGAGAGAGTAATACTATCTTTTATAAAACAAATACAATCCCTCTGAATCCTATAGAAACAAGAATATCTAATTTCTTCAACTTACGAAAACATATCTAGAGCATATATTCACCAATAATGGAAGATTGTTCTCTTTTCTCTATAAGCCCTCCAACATTTTGTTGCATAATTACGATATTGCAAAATCTTCCAATATAATTCCTGCATAGAAGCTGTCAGAAATTCCCCAGAATTTTGCAGCACTTGTCATTTGTTATCCAGATGTTTTCCCCGCTAATTTCTCAAGATTCTTTCAAACTTAGGAAATGATTACCTGTATCTACTTCCTGTATTTACACATACATTTTGGAGGTCAATTTAGTATCAATTTCTGAAAATGTGTTAATGGGCAGTTGTAAACTACATAATTCTCTTTTAACTACATAAGTATGTGTTTATTTGAATCTATAAGAGCCACAATATTTCATTGGTTAATTGGAGTTTTACCTCTTGTTTATTCTACATTAAGAGATTTTATAAAAATCTCTTATGTATATTTCCTTACCTTTCCACATTTTCCATTAGTCCTACCCTATATTGATCTAAAAGCTGAGATATATCATCAGGGTATAAAAGGGGATGCATCCTCTATGAGTGCTGTATACTCTTCCTCTGGATCTGGATAATAATGTAATAGTAGTTTATTGATTGATTATTCTTGCAACCTTATCAATAAAATAAAATAATAAAATAAAATGGAAACCCTGGTAAATCATTGACATACAAATTAAAAAACACTGGGGTTAGAATACAACCCTATCTGAGGTAATAACTTATATAAATTCATTATTTATTTTACTACAAATAGATTTCCTTGATTCTTTTATATTTTCAGTTTTCATCCACTGTTTTGATTTACATTTTAAAATGAAAGGGATTGTATTACCTAGTTGTGCAGCTCGATATTATTATTTTAGACTTTCCCCCTTAATTTTATTTGTTTTAAAGACAGTTATGATTTCTCTCATAAAGGGATCAGAACACAAAAGCCACCGTAAGGGCATGTCCAATTATTGGGTGGAAATCCATGGCTGAATGATCATGGCTGAATGATCTTCCTATTAAGATCAATTTTAGACTGCATATAACTTTCATTTTTAATAGACACTTCCATTAAACAAAACAAAAATGATCTATAACAGTTTTTAATGAGTTTGTTTTAAAAGGACCTAGTTCTCTTTAAGAGATAAGATAGAATATCTAAAGATAAATTGCATCATAATTGTTTTACCCAGGGCATGAGTAATGGCTGATTTGACAAGTACTAATTATGCTATTTTGGGGAATAACTTTGCACTGATCAGTTGGTTGCTCTATTTCCCGCTCCCTGAAAACAGATTTGCAGTTTAATGACATGACATTCAAAGTACATAATTATTCTTGGCTGATCTTGCAAAGTCAACCCTAGATGACTTTGGAAGTCATGGAAGGCTACCTCCTCAGTTATTAGCTAAAACAATGATGGTAAATCTTTTTGGCAAACCAGAATGTGTGTGCATGCATGCATGCATGCACGCGGGAGCACCGGAAACCCAAAGACCTGCTGACCAGTGCTCCTGGTCTTTGGGTTTTCTGGTGCTCCAGTGCGCTCAAAGACCAGCTGGCTGGCACACATGCACATGCCGTAAAACCCAAAAACTAGGTGGCTGGCTTGTGCATGCATACCAGCCAGGTGGCTTTCTGGTTTCTGGCGCTTCTGGTTTCTGGCGTTCCGGCGTGCACAAAGATCAGCTGGCCAGCATGCATGCACACACTGGAAACCAGAAGAGCAGCTGGCAACAGTGTGTGTGCCCACAGAGAGGGCTCTGTGTGCCACCTCTCTGGCACCTGTGCCATAGATTTGCTATCATGGAGCTAAAATATTACTTCACAGGTTTTTTTTTTAAAAAGCCACACTGGGAGAAATAGCAATCTACATTTGTAAGGCTGATATGCAAATTACATGGAAGTGGTTTCCAAGAACTGAATTCAAATGGTGTGTTTTTAGTATTCTATAACTTCTCCATCATTATAGGCCATTATAATATCTAATGTTCCCATGCATATTTCATATATGACAGTGTCCCTAATAGCAGACCCTTTTTAATGAAATCAGATCATAGAGAACCAGAATTAAATGGGATAATGGGTTCTGTTCCATCCCCCAGAGTCTATGGGGAAAACAGGCTATATTGTATAAGAACAGGGGTGGATGTGGGCTGGATGTGTCATGTGTAGGCCATAGCCATCCCAGCTCTGCAAAGGTAAAAAACATTGCAAAACATCATATGATGGCAACGTGACACTGCAAGTTTGACACCCATGTATAAGAGATACTATCTAATTAAAACTAGCTTTTGGCAAAATAGGAATTTGGATACCTTCCTTCTTGTAGCTATCCAACTGATTAAGGACCTTATAGCCCATGATGTGCGACCAGCTCTGCTAAAAGGCTTAGTTGCATTACTAAAGCCATCAAGGCAGGAGACAGCCAAGATGCAAGCAAGAATCCTAGAAGGTAATATTGTGGAACAGTGGTATTTGAACTTGTCTGTATGGAAGATGGGTCCTACTTTTATAAGGTTGATCCTCTGTTCATTTAGTGACCAAAGTTATAATGGCACTGAAAAAAGTTACTTGTGACCATTTTTCACACTTAGAACCATTGCAGTATCCCCATGGTCATGTGATCAAAATTCAGATGCTTGACAACTGTCTCATATTTATTATGATGGTTGCAGTATCCTGGAGTCAGGTGATCAGCTTTTGTGAGCTCCTGACAAGCAAAGTCAATGGGGAAACCAGATTCACTTAACAACCCTGTTACTAGTCTGCAGTGATTCACTTAACTGTGGCAAGAAAGATCATAAAATGGGGAAAATTTTACTAACAAATTTCTCACTTAGCAAGATAAATTTTGGGCTCAGGTTTTGCCCTCATAAGTTGAGGACCACCTGCAGTTATATCTGTATTTGCATGAGAAGAGGGAAAAGTTTTGGTATCAGAGGAAGCAACATGTAATATATGTTATCTAACTAAACCCATACCTTTTACCATTGGTCCATCAGATTCCAAGTTTTCAGAAACTTAAGCCTCTGGTTTTGAGGAGGTAGATCCAATGGTGGGTTGCAGGCAGTACACCCCAGTACGGGTGTCTGCCCGGAGCACTGGGTACCATTCCGATACAATGATCTGGAGGGCGCACCCGCCTGCCCGAGCTCCTTACCTGTCCTTTAAGCCTTTGGCACTTTCATGCATGGCGCGTATGGCATCTGCACAACACTCTGCCGAGCAGCTGGAGCGTCACGGAGGCTTGCGGAGGCGTTGCAGGCAGGTACGATGTGTGTGCACGTGTGCTGCACGCATCCATGTGGACCCGTTCCAACCGTACCGGTTAGAAAGGGATCCGGAACTCACCACTGGGTAGATCCCATTATAAAACTTCACCATTGATTGTAGTTGCATATGCTAGGAAATGCTGGGGACAGGACTGTGTTATTCAAAGGAAAATATAAACCAAAATTACTGAAAGTCAAAAAAAATCTAAGTTCCTACCCTTTACTACTGAAATGAAAAATAGCTATACCAGTCAAATATTGCTGCTTAAAAGCTGGAGAATTTGGAAATGTTTTTTCTTGGGAAATCTGATTAAGAATGTTCTACTTGGCTCCTACTCAAATCCAAAACAAACTATTGGGAAAGCTACGAGGTACCGTATTTGATTTCTATTTTATATCGCCTCTTCAGAAGCAGGCTCTTTGCGCCTGATGGAATCCTTGCCAGCATATGTTCAGCAAGCTGCAGCAGCCAAAACCATTGGGTAAGAAATTTTTAGTTACTGCAACTAGCTGTCTAAACATTTGAAATCATTCCTCCTCCAGCAGAAGAGGTAGAAGGAACCACCAGGTCCAAGCATAAACCAGAACAAGTATGATATAGACAACTTTCAGATACCTTTTAAAGAAAAAAGTAGTTGTTTTGACAAACATTTTACATGTATTCCTGCTTGATAATGCTTTATAACTAAGACTTTTATCACAATTACAAAGGGAAAGGGAAAAGAAGCAAATACTGTTTAATGGGATGGATATATTTAAATCTTTGCATCTTTCCATTTATAAAATGCTATTGTAAACCTGGTGTATTTATTTATTTAGTGTTCTGTGAGATTTCTGTAGATTTAAGGGACAAAATAGATTTTGTAGAAACTAGAAACTTTTGTACAAGCAGCCCTTTGCTCTTTAATCATCCATTCAAAAAGAAAGAGCGGAAAAAAACACATTTCAGTCTTACTTGTTCTGAGCACAGCAAAAATGAGTCCTGGGGATAGGCCATGTGTAGCCTGTACCATTTGAACTATTACTTCATAAAAATTACTTCAGTGTTGAACTGAAACACCAGCCATACATTCAGACCTTACAAAACCGGTCTGTGTTAGTATTTTAGTTGTAAATTATTCAATATTTCCCTCCCAGAATTCTGGCGAAGGAGTCTAGAGAAGTGGCGGAGGAGTTGATATTCTTGAATGTGGTACATGGCCTTATGTGTGTCATGGGCAACAAGGACCACACCAATGGTCAAAGACAAGCTAGCATCACATTAGAGGCAAGTACCATTTGGAATTAGGGGGTTAACTGGTTGCAGCCTATTCTTGCCACTTCTGTAATTGAAATTAAGAGTTTGTATATGCAATTGGGATTATGGTAGTTGAATTCAATAGAAGCAAGATCAAGCTATGGCTGAAGTACAAGATAGACAAGGAGGGAACATGTTTGTGTAGAAAAGGGATTGCTTCCGTATTTAAGTAAAACTGGCAGAATGATATTCCTATAGTTTTTGTTTTAAAACTACTAGTGATAGTAAAGTTCCCTTCATCTTCCTCCACTCTAGCACAAGCACAGGAAGAGAAAAACAAAATACCAACTAAACCTGCCTAAGAATTCCTACATAGCGTTCTGTTTTAACTGAGAAAATAATTTGAAAGGATTACTTCAACAATGATTTAGTACAAGCAAAACATCCTTGGAAACATCTGCCACTACCTAGGATTGAACTCTCAACCTACTCAGAAAGTTGAGAGTTCAGTCCTAGATAGTGACAGATGTTTCTCTGCTAGGGCACAAAGAAAAAATATCTGCTGCAAACGTGTGGTGCAGTGGTGGGTTTCCATTATTTTTACCACCAGTTCACTCATGCGAGTGCACACAACACTTCTGCCCATGCGCAGAAGCGTCCAGGTAGGTGGGCGGAGCCTCCTGCCGCTGCCACTACTGGTTTACCCAATCTATGCTGAACCGGGACAACCCATCTCTGGTGTGGTGTGAGGAAGGACATCCAGCCAGTAAATGCTCAACTCCATTGTCACCCTGACTCTTCCCCAAAGTAAAGAATTACAAGAGGGTTTTTTAAAGCACTTTTTCCTTGGAGTAGTTGCTAGTGTTTCAAATCCTGCCACTGCTTACCTGCATAAGCACACTCAGCAACAGACTCAAAGTTGCCAGTAGATACACATAGCGATACAGAAAACCAGTTACCTTTCCAGATGACACAGCTATTTTATCACTTCAAGCAGGGAGGTGATTTGGAAAATACTTTGTAAATGTTTCAAATGTTTGCAAAATTGTGCTGCTTTTTCCTATAGTTGGACTGATATTTCCTTGTAGTATTTTGTACAGATGTCTATAGTGATTGAGAACTACGTTCAGAGGGCCATGGGAGAAAAATTATTCGAGCTATTCATGGTATGTGTTTCCAGTCCTTGGGCTTGCCTGATGGATTTTCAATTTTAAGTACCAAGTTTTATATTTTAAGGGCAGGATTAAGTATTAAAATCAACAAGTATTTTAAAAACATATTTTAATAGCTGTTAAATACTGTATCTCACAGAGGGGAAACAGACTAAACACATACTACCACCACCACACAAAAATAATCAGAATATCAGCATTTAATAAAATGTAGATAGTATATATAACTTTAAAATAATTACACTAATTTATCTAAAAATGTTTTTGTTGTTTATATTGGTACAGTGAAAATAGCTTAATTTATAAAATTAATTATTCTACTATTAATAAATATAGTAATATTTAATGTCTACATTACAGAGGGATGTACATTCAGAGAAATGTAACTGACAATATTGAAAAGGACATTTCATTAAAGCAAAAAATGAGTTTTTCCTAACTTTCTATTCCCATCTTTCCAAATGACATTCAGGAGTTAAATATAAACATTATTTATTCTCCGCTCCTTGCTAGATATTTTTAAACAGTCCCTAAATCTGTTCAATTCCGATTTTGTTTTGCATGATTGCCCCACAGTAGTAGTTCCTAGATTTATAGAAAGGTAAGAACTTGAACCTAGAAAGGCGTAAACCAATGCTGCTCAGCCTTGGTTATTGGATAAACACAACACGGGTAGTTCAGTCTTAAGGCTAGGGAAAAAATGGCCAAAAGTCCATTGACCAAAATTGGTGGAAACTTAAAAACACTGGGACAGACAGGCAGAAATAGTGATTTCTCTCATTTGCTTTAGGCAGATCTCATGACTATATGACTTTATTGTTCATTTGTTTGTAATGTCATTATTTTCTGACATATCCTTGCTCCAATATTTTGTCAATTTTGCAATACTGGGTTGCTCATGGGTGAATTTTCTCATTCACAGAATTCTTGCCATACAGATTCATTAACCATATTAGCAATTTTGGTACACCCTGTATTATGATATAATTTGTTTATTTTCCCTTTCAAAAGTCTTCAAAAAGATTCTTCTCTATTTCAAAATAATTCACTAATGGGGGAGATTAAATTATGCACTGGTTTTTAGATTAACAACATTTTCAAAGGGAACTGACTGTTTAAAAGGATAAAGGACACATCTGTAAACCTGTAGATCATAATGCCTGTGCATAATTGTGCCCTATTATGTAAGCCTTGTCATTTTATAATCATTTGGAAAAAATTCCCTATAGAATGTTGAGAACCCAGAGACAAGACCTTTTGGATTACTACCAATTATGCATGAATACAATACATAGCATGTCATAGATTGAGATCAAAGGACAAGTTAATTATCTAGAGAAGATTACTGAAATCTGCCATTTCCAAGACCAAAAGTGGAAATATTTTGCTCCTCAGATGTTGTAGTTCCCAGCAGCCATAAAGATAGATTTAATTGGACTTAAAACAAAAGCCAGTAATGATTGCAGAATTGGCTAAGCGATTTACATTACTTTATTTCTCAGTATTCTTCTGGTGTGTGGAATATAATTGAAAGGTGACAAGAGACTGAGTGGGCACATGAAAAACAGATTTTTGTCCTACTTCATTAGTCACAGTTGGCATATCCAATGTGATCAAAAGACAGGCCATCAAACCCCCAATTTAAGGACCAGGACATTAATCTGATTTATGCATGTTCATGTCTAATTAAACTGCAGCATAATAATTATAGTAAGACCTATGTTAACTTTCCATTGAAAATGTTTCATATGCTTGCCCATGTATCAAAGTGAAATCAATTGATGCACTTGTATGAACTTGCCCTTTGTTTCCAGTAATTTGTGCTATAAACAATCATCATGGGATTCAAGTTAGGAAGTGTGTCGAGAATTTAGTTTGAATGGTTTTGTGACAGGCAGAAACAAGAGTCATTCGTGATCTCCATGTTTTCAAATTAAAATGAACATTTTTCTTTTCTCAGCAAGATGCTGAAAATTTGTACTTGAATATGGACGCTGTACAGGCTGATATACTGGCTACCAATATAGTCAATATCCCAGCAGATTGTTTGGATAAAGGAAAAACCTCTTTTACAGGTATGCTTTTTGCAGTCATAGCCAAAAGCCTACAAGAAACATATATACAGAATTGTATATACAATTTACCATATTGTAAATTCTCTGTTGGTGCAGAATCAGAAAAGTATTTTACACATAATTTACAGCTAAATTCAGAAACTGCTTAGATTAATCAAACAATAAAAATATAAACACCAATATTTTTATATATGCTTTTGTGTGTGTATTTGTGTATATAAAACCTGTGTAAGGAAATACCAGCTGACAACCCAAAATGGATAAAATCATATCTCTATGATGTAACTTTATTGCAAAATAAACTAGTCCCCAGTCATTTGATTATTTAATTTCTACAGCACCAATCTTGTGATCTGAGCTAAACCATGTTCATATGTATATACAGGTATGCATATACATACATGCTTAAAATTAGTTCAATGCTTCAGTAATAGATTCAAGACTAAATTGTGGGTTTTTTTTAACTGAAAGTACTTTTCTCCTCAAACTAGAGACAGAATCAAGCCCTGAAGAATTGCACTCTGAAGACAGTGAAATATTATCTGAGCCACTTGCTTAATTTCATTCATATTGTTGATTTTAATCTTCTCTCCATTTTTCTGCACCCTTTTCACAAAGTACCTTTTTCAAAATCTTTTCATGCATCCCTGTGAAGAAAATATGGAGGACTATATAACTGCAGTGCAAACTGTGTGCCATTTGCGACATTGGAACAGGTGATTTCTATTTTCATTGACTAGATAATTACTTGACTAGTTTTCTATCTGTTGCAGTACAGATTATACTAAACTACAGTTCCCATAATCTTGCAACAAATAGCAACGGTTCAATACCACTGAAGGAGATAAAACTCAGGAAAATTTAAGGAACAAAAATGGTTTTTATCATTGGATAATTTTTGACCAGTTTCATAGCCCAACTCTAATTCATATCATTATGAATTATATATTAATGTGGAACAGCTCCTTGTACAACTAATTTACATTCTAAAAGAGGAAACGGAATATCTATGTTAAATAAAATTGCATTGAATTGTTGAATTTAATTTGTTCTTCAAGATTATACTTACTTTCAAATTAATTTGCTTAAATACTCACCTGAATACATACCTTCTGATGCATTCTCTTATAGCCTGTATCTCCAAGAACATAATCTTTCCAAATATACATACATGTTTTTGCTAAAAGCCAACCTTAATGCACAATAAATGTTTTTAATTGTTTCATTATTCCAACTGGAATGAGACTAGTAGTTACAATTTAACAACTGGAATATAGCTGTCTACTCTGAAATTTTCCCCAAATTCATAAACATCATTTATTTGGTCTGAAAATAAATGTAAACTTGTCTTTTCATTAATTATTAAATATATAATTATTTATTTTTCAGTAGCAAAACAAGATTTTTAAAAAGTAAAACTTGTTTAATAAAGGTTTCTATCTTAAAACCTTTGATTTTAGGTGCAACCACATATACTTAGGGCTATCAGTTTCCAGAAATTTATATTTAGAACAATGGTTGATATTCTTGCTATGTGATCCATTCATCTATTACTGTATTCAGAGCACCATAACGTTCCAATCAACGACACTGTTAAATTGCATTTTCAAAATTCTGTGAATCCTTCAGTAGCCCTATTTTTATGTGTACTTGTGCAATCATTTTTAGACAATAACTATCTGAAAAGAAAGACCATTGGCTTACCTGAATGGTCGTTCTCAGGGCACTGCGAGGAGAGTCCAAGCGTGGGTTAACACAGCCTATCTGCCTTTGGACTGAGTAATGTTTTTCTTGACCACGCCTCCCTTTGCCTCTCTTTGTTCAGTTTAAAAACGAAAGGACAGACTTCCGGGGGGAGGGGCTTGCCGTCGCCGGTAGCTCAACGGAGCTGCCCTCAGAGTTCTGGTTCGTATATCTATTTAAGATCTATAGATATCTCTTTTTTCAGGCAAGAAAGAAGCAGGGAGGGACTCAGTCGTTAAAATCCTCTTTGTATTTCCCAGCTTTTTTTTTTTTTTTGGCTGTGAACGGAGAAGAAGGTTCA